CTAATATGCTTTCCTTTTCTCTGAACCTCAATTAAGGGAAGTTACAAGGAAATGACCACTTCAACAATCACTCAAGTTTCTAAAAATAGCTTACCCTAATTGGGTATTTAAGCGAACATTTGAAATTGCTTGCAGTTCCTGTTAACTAATAACGGTAAATGACAGTTCAGAATTTGGTCACGTAATTGTCATAATGTAGCAACGTTGCCTTCGGAAACTAGGAATATCATTTTGTGGTGAGAGCGTATTCTAGATCATTCCAACCATCCAACTGACAAACTCGACACTGGATTAACTTAACTATGCGTTAGAGACATAAGTAATGTGTTAATTAAAGTGGATTTGCTGTTATAAATTTGATTGAATATTTAATTATCCTATTTTTTTATTTATTTTATTTATTATTTCACTTTGAAACTTATTCCCATTAACACATAGTTTGTGGTTGCTAAATGATTCTGGACTTGAAGACAATTTGTGTTCGCTCAGCATCTGTTGCTGAACTAGGCTAGAAACCTGTATTTCAGCTAAAAATCTATTATAGATATTGTTTTATGTGCTTAGAGTTGTTATGTGAGTTATTTTACAGCCTTTTTTATTACATTTTCATTTCATTCATTCGAAGGGTCCTGCTACGTCACACATGGACAAGCTTTACCGGTCCATATATACTACGACCTCTCAGAAAACTGGTGTTAGGCAGTTCTTTTGTTACAGTTTGCCAGCTAAGTGAGGTCAATGGAGGTCCACCCTTCCTCCCAACCTCTCTGGTGTTATGGCAGGCACACACTAAAGTCTGCAATGCACTCGTGACCCTTAAGTTGCAGTGGTAGTCACTTATCATAATGTGACTTGACTTTATAACTCCTTGTTCTTAAAAAAATAATTAACATTTAACTTTTTAAAATAACTTTTGAATTTAAAGTTAAGACAAAGCGTATACCATTTCCAAAACATACCATCACACTTTGAACATCCCACACACGCTATACAAACACCACTCACCACACATTCACTTACACACACTACTCCACATTCACTTACACACACCACTCCACATACAAACAACATTATTGCTATCTGTTTAGCTATATTTGAGATGCACTGTTTTAGGTATATTCATACAGAATTGTGTACTCTTGCTGTGTATTTACCTTCAATTAATTGTGTACTTCGTAATTGGCGTATTGTTCGACTATGTAAACTATATACTGTCAGCTGTGAAGAACCTAAGTATTAAATAAATAAAACACCTTCATTGCAAGTATACTGGCCCACAATATATTTTATTTATTGAATTTCTAACATCACTAAAATGCTTTCTAACTGAATTTCATAATAAAGGAAAAAGGTTCGCCTTAGTCTAAATTAGTTTTAAAAGAAAAATTAGGGTAGATATAATAAATTGTTACAATAGATCTTTTTCCTTCAAAAAACTTGCTCCGTCCAGATTTAAAGTTCTATTATAGAGGTAAAGTTTATGCGTTTATAACTTAGTGAATTGGGATCAAACTTATTATTTCACCATCCCAATCAGTCATTAGTCAGCTTTTATCAGTAAGGTCTTCATCGTGATAGTGAGCATGTGGATAGAGGAACCGTATCAAGTCACATCCAATATAAATAGAAAATAAAAAGCCGTGTGGTGTCGTGGGACACCCGATAGGAACGAAGTTGTGACGATCGAGTAAAACTGATTTGACACGACTTTAATTACAACGCCATCTATGAAAGCGTCTATTACCTACATATTAAAAACAATTAAAACAATTTATACATTGATAAAATCTCCTTGCGAAATGATTTCCTATCTATTCGATAGATGGCGCTGAATGTCTGACAAGATGACACGAAAATAAAGAGCAAAAAGCCAACATCACGTGGTATTCCCAGGCGGTCACCCATCCAAGTACTAACCACGCCCGATGTTGCTTAACTTCGGTGATCGGACGAGAACCGGTGTATTCAACATGGTATGGACGTTGGCGAACGTTAAAGCAAATTTAATGTATGGTATCCACAGTTAGACGTCAATTTATATTAATAAAAAAGTGTTGTTCCAAATTTTCGTACGAATTTTTTCCGTCTAGCCCCCTTTCACAACGCGCGATAAGGAACTTCGTTCCAAAAAAAGGGAATTTTCTTTTCAAGGCTTTAAACACGTGTCTGTAACCGACTTTAATGTTCTTTCGTTATTGTCTCATGACAATAGTCCTCTATTGTTTATTTAAATCCAATGGAAAGGTTTATCATTATGAAATAAAATTAAATCAAATGTAATACGTTCGTGTATTCCCGTCAAATCACATCATCACATCAACAGCCTTTAATAGTCCACTGCTGGACATAGGCCTCTCCTTAGAAAGAAGGTCAAAAGATCCCGAAAAATTATATCTAATCAAAGGAATGCCGGACACATGTACGGAAACATGAATGTATATTTATATGTTAATTAGTATCTAACTAGTTACCTACTTGGTTATACAAATTAATCAAATTAAATTCTGAATACACTTTTTGCAAACAAAGTTAATACTAACTGACCCATGCAACTTCGTATGAGTCTCTGAAAAGGGATAAATTTCCCAGTTTTTGCTACATTTTTTATTGATGTTCGACTCCTATTAGTCACAGCCTATAGCCTTTCAAGATAAAGGGGCTATCAAATACAAAAAAAAAACAGTTTGTACCAGAGTATCACCTGAAATAAGCGTCAACCAAACAAACAACTCTTCATCTCTATAATATTAGTATAGATGACGGTTATTTATAAATTATCAGACACTGACACATCAGCACCCATCCTCCTTGAAATGGAGCTGTTCCGATTGCTGACTCTAATGCTGAAACTAAATGAAGAATAGAATGAATGCTAAACTGCATGAAATGACAACAGAGGGGAAACTGTTTATTCGCAATCTCATGCAGATTGTACACAGTGGCTACCAGAAACTAGACAACTTCAGAACTAAATCTCCAGAACCTCTCCGTTATAGTTAGGATAATTCACACCGGAACCTTCAAAGCGCGTTCAAACAAACAAACTCATCAGCTTTGTAATATTATAATATAGATAAAACGTCAGAAATGCAGTGGTCCGAACTTCCGAACCGAGATTTCTAATAAAAGTATGAATAATTCAAATAGAGATAAAACGTAACAATGAGCTAGATCGCGTTGTAATCGTTCAACTCACTAGAGGATAATGGCTTTTTAAATTCTGTTAAGAGTCATTGTAGCACTGTGAAAATATTCATTTTGGTAACTAAATATATTACACTAGAACTAAATAGATATTAAAAATCTGAAGAAACACTAAATCCTTTAAAATAAACTGATCCATGACTGAAATAGAAAGCATGATATGCGAGCTGCCGTCTCGGTATCGGAGCTTATAGGTATGATATTCCCTTCTAGTCTTTTATAACTCAAATATACAAAATGTAAAAATGTATAGGTACTACAACAATTAAACAGGATGTTTTATCAGTTACATAAAATTGGGCTAGCATTAGCATCCCCATCCTATAAAGGAGTTATAGGCATTAAAGTACACCCTATTTGTGCATGATATCACGAATTACCTACATATTTTTGTTTTTAATTGTGCATATTTTTAACAATCATTTATAAATGTATGAAAAGCAAAGTCAAGAACTTTAGATTTAAAAACGAATGATTTATTTATATAAACTTAATTTCACAAACCCATGTATTAGTCTTGTGGGTAATTGGACAATGATGTTATAAAAGAATGCTTAGTTTTACCGATAGGAACCGCCTGTTCACGAAGCTGGCTCGAGCTTAAGTTATTTTTGCTCTGGTGAGATCTATAACATTGGTTTTAGTTCCACAATACTAGAAGTGATAGTTGGTAATCGCGGTCACTTGTCATTTCATCAATCAAATCACGTGAAATTAGTAATCTCCCTTTATTCAATTAGACTTCAGTACGCACGATAGAACGCCATTGAACTGATCTGGGCCTCAATTCTGCTATTTTAATATTGTATCAATAGACTGTCGATGGAATTTCGTCGGAATAGTTTTGCATTTTTCTTAATTGACTATCTATGTAAGACCAATGACCTCCCAATGACTTGTCACTTATATAAATGTTATCGATGTCTTTGTAATAGTTTGGTAAACAATTAATATTTAATTTTCATGATATAGTAATGTTGCTGATATCACCGTTGATGACCTACATTACTGTATCGACAGTCTATTGACACTGTGAATTCATGTTAGTAGAATACCGATATTTTCACCGATGTTCGATGATTTCATCTCAATGCCATCTCAATAGTGTGTCAATGGAATGAAAGTGGCTTGGCATTAACATAAAATGGCAGATTTGAGGGCCTGATCTTAACGCATAGCTCGCACCTCATCTACATTCATCAGGACTTTTATTCACGAAAGAAAAAGTGATATTTAATTTAACCTAATCTTATTTTGAGATGGCGTTACCGTGTACAACAATGCTACTCATCGTTCAAGATAAACATTCATCTTTAAGTGGTTCCAAATGTAGCATGCCTACTACTTATGGCTTCTAGTACGTGAAAGTCACACAAATGATATTATCGCGAGAAAATTCTTTCCTTTGTTAATGCGACAATGCTTACTACAAAAGAAATAGAATGAACCGATGTCGTGGATGGTGCTCTCGAAGTGATTTCACTACTAGTGTGAACACATCCATTTGTATAGGCTTGCGATTCTGTAGTTTTATCGTTTATTCCTATTTTTATATTAGCTAATCACTAAAGAGAAAATGGAAATTGTTGTGAATAATTTATTGCAAATAATGAGTAAAATAGGCTCCCTCGTTTTTCTTTAAAAGAGCAAATACTACAATCGTTGTATTTTTAATATTACTGCTATGCTTTGTAATGAAAACAACAGAGTTGACTAGAGCTACCAAGAATAGTTCAATACAATCTACCAGTTAGTACTTGTTAGAAATATGAACACAGGGTATGGCAAACAACAACATGGTAATGACATGTTAAACAGACCTTACAAATTTTAACAGGGTATAACAAATGCAGGCACACACTGCAGGTAGTGACGCTATAAACTAGATTTAAGGGTATCTAAATTTAAGTGAATATCTATACAATTTAAAATCATAAAAAAGTCAATGTTTTAATCACATATTTTGTATTTGTTAAGGTGTTAAACGGCGGTCAAGCATTCAACTAAAATGCGACCTTAATCGCAGATTTATTACCACTAAGCTATTATATTATATGTGAATTAATAACACACAGATATTAATTAATATATGTTGTTTGTTGTCACCAGGGAAAAGATTACGGCCAAAGAAATCCACCTTCAGCATTGTCGTGGTTTTCCAGAGAGCGGCGGCTCTCTCGAACAACGCATCGCGTCATAAATATTGACGAAGGTATTAATTAAGTTTCATTAAAGCAAATTATGAATGATTACGGTTCGTAATATAATTAAGTTATATCCCGAGGACTGTTTCGGTACCTTTAAAACTTCAGATGTGAATTGAATATGTTTAGATGAAAATTTTATGTATAAAGATCTCTTAAGTATTCTGATATTTAGTAGTTAAGGATATGTTATTAGTGTATTTAAATCGTGTTTTGTTCATATAGTGTACTGAAGCTATTTAACAAATAATTTCTGAGTTTTCATTATACCGTTAATCATTAGCATACTATCTTATCTTTGTTACCACACTTTAGATTACAGTCGTGTTAATTTACATACGTAATTGGTTCATTTATTTTATAATTCCGCATGCCTAAAATAACTGAAAATACGACAACATCGAATTATTAAAAGAAGAATAATCCATGCATAATTTTACGAGTATCTATCTGCATTGACTTGTAAACTGAGCTTTTAAATCACAATGAAACCCATATTTTTCGGAAAAGTAATATGCTTCTTTTAACAGATTGTTTCCTCGTAACATCAGAAGAGGGAGAACTGTTCTTCAAATCACCAACAGACGAGCCGGTCGTATGCGGAATCTATATGATCGCTGATCCGGACAAAAGAATTGAGGTCATCTTCAATTATCTTGACGTGCCGTGTGATAATGGAGGATTAGTTGCTGTAAGTAAATACATGTAAGAACTAATATTGCTTGTAAAGTTAATTGGGTATAAAAAACTGTAAATTTACACACACGTCTATATCCCCGAAAGGGATAGTCAAAGGAATATTAATCGTTAAACTTTTGCTGACTATAATTTTAGTCCCACTTGTTCATAGAACATGTCGCTTAGTAGAGTGTGGTGGATGGCAATGAACTCGCCTATTGCCACACTCTTTAAGAATAATTTTGGAAAATTAAGTGTACGATGGAAGGAAAAGTAAGAAGGCAATAGTAAAATTTAGTACTAATACTTGTAGGGATGGATTTGGGAGTGTAAGCAACATCTCGTGGAGGTTAAGGTCACATACCTCTAACACAAAAGTTTAAAATAACGTGTGAAAATGAGCCAGAATATAGTTAGGTTATATATGACTTCAATAAATATATCTGCCCGATTACCTCATTCTTGATTCCTTTAGAGAAACGCCGAGCATAGCCCTTTCCATAGAATGCCTTTCCAGGAATGAGGTGATCCGGCAGAGAACCAAGGTTACCGACATAGCCAGCTGAAGTGGCAGTGGGCTGGCCATGTTAGCCGCAGAACCGAGTTCTTGAGTAGAGACCGCGTCTCTACTCAAGAACTCGTCAGGTTGAGTGACGATTTGCGCAAGATGGCTGACAGAAACTGGATGCGAGAAGCACAATATCGATCTAAGTGGCGGGCAATGGGAGATGCCTATGTCCAGCAGTGGACTGCGATAGGCTGATGATGAATATATGACTTTAAATAAGGATTGGTCACAAAGAGACTTGCCAAAATAAATTTACAATAGTACACTGTGTTTATGATGGATATGCATATTGAATAACAAAACAGCTGTATTGCTGCTAGATTGATGATTAGATTTTTTTTAAGTTTTAAAGTGTGCGTTGTATAAAAATAGGACACATATAATAAGAGGTATTAGGCACGAATTTGTTTTAATTTCATACCTTATTAATATACAATTGTGTTCCCTATGGAATCTAGTTCTCATATTTCAACCACCATAAAATGTTATAATTAATATTTATAGTTATAATTAATTAATATATATTAATAGCACGCATTTTCCGTAACCAGGTGCTAATGTGAATCATGTAGCGGTATCGTGAGTGACAGTCGTAAACGTATTTATAATTAAGTTAGGAAACTTAAGAGCTTCATGGAATTATTTAAAAAATATAGGTTTTTTTTGAAGTCTGCATGTTCATGGGAAATAACATTTCTCTATTTTCTTTTATAGAAAGTCAACGTCGCTCAAAGCCAAAACAGCACTTCTACATAAAAGTGTTTACGCCATGGCACCAAAGCTGTACAATCATTTACCGAAAAAAATCAGAGACCGTAAAAATGTTAATGAATTTAAAAGCAATCTCTTAAAATTACTTATTGACAAAGCATACTACTCCATAATACTGAATGATAAATTTTGATTTCAATTAGTTATGTAATTAGGTATTTATAATTAAGTATTTGAACATGACATTTATTTTGACGTTGTAATTATTATTTGTTTTAAAAATTTTACTTTATTTTGACATTTTATTTAGTATTTTGAACTTTTAATTATTTTGACATTTCGATTATTCATTATTTTGACACATTTAGTTTGAATTTTTTGATTGTTAATTATTTGACATATTAAGTTTGACATTTTTAATTATTTTAACATTTTTCCCGATTTAATCATCATTTATCAATATCAGTATGTTATTTAATTAAGAAATCAAATCAACGTCTATTTTTATTGAATTGAATAAGTATATGATTACATGACTTTAAACAGTTGTATTGCACAGGAATAATGAAATCCTTTTATTGTTTTGTATGCCTATTGGCGAAACATAGCGATCTTTTTAAATATGGTTTGTAACATCTGAATTTACCTGTGCTTTACGAAATAAATTATTAATTGATTGATTGAAAAGTGTGTAGTGCTAAACACTGTTTAGTTTTAGTATTTTCAATTTAGACTTAAGGAAAATTTTAATGTCCTATTTGTTTTTGAATGGCCAAAACCGACCGTAATGAAATGCAATGATGATATTTATTTCTGCAAGTAAATCTTTTCAGATATTTTTACAAATCGGACTTTCCAGATATTTTTACAAGTCGTATCATTATCTTTGTCATTATTATTACATTATCTTATCATGATCAATAATTAAATTTTTGAAACGAACTTATATGACGGTATATTATGGCGGTATATTAAAAAAAAACACTATTTTACATTCGTATTTATAAATTATACGCTTTACTAATATCTATATACTTAGATAGGTAATAAATCTAACCGTTACTATACAGTAAACAAGAGAAAGATGTTTCAGACGCCTTTAGTAAAATGCTTTGTTTTGCTTAATTAATTACCCGATACCACTCAATTCACGCGCAGGTTCTGTTTTTTTTTCCTTTAAAAAAATCTCAGTAACAGCATTGTGCTTACAAACCTGGCCAACCAACATCTATAGGTTCACCCGTCTTAGAACGAGTAACAAATATAGTTAACGGAGTGCAAGTATTATCTAGGCTATAGTTCAATTAATATACATCATTCAACTCAATCTAAGAGTACAAACACACACAAATATATACTAATGCAAAACGTGGATTCATGTAATGTGTAAACGTGTTTTAAAATTGAAGCTTTAAATAAGAAACGGGCTGTTTACAATTTTATGTATTATTATATTTATAATGATTACATACATAATAATGAGATAAAAAATCTGAAAAGCCAGGGAAATCCAAGAAGCCAGATAGTAATTAATTTAAGAAGCGATGAAAGTTTTCCATCTATTTTTATTGAGCTGCTAACCAATAGAAATAAATGGAAAACTTACTATTCTCGTATTTACTTAATAAAAAACAATCACCGAAAATAAAACATTTAATTTCATTTATAAAAATATTACTTTTATATGGACTATCAAGTATTTAATATCCGTGTGGGTCACCTAATATTAATATCCGTATATATATTAATATCCGGGTGGTGACACTTCATTTTCTTAATCCGTCAGGATTAAGAAAATGAAGTGTCACCACCCCGCTATTTATCCCGTAGGTGTCGTAAGAGTCGACTAAGGGAGCCAACCAGCAGAACAGCACTGCAAAAAGAAGGAAAACTTGTAACAAACCCTATAATAACCCGTCTGGCTAGCGTTGTATAGAAGGCCGAAACCTTCTTCCTAAGGAGAGGCCTATGCCCAACAGTGGTCTATTATAGACTATTGATGATGATCATAAACTATAAAAAACCCATTATAACCCTCTTATAATTTTTTATTTATAAGAGGGTTATAATGGGTTTAATGGGATATAAAAACCCACGCCTACCAAATTATACATTACGAATTATCTTTATCACAATAAACTATCTCGTAGCTTTATACAGAAACTGTTTTTCAGTGGGTAGATGGTTGGGAGTTGAACGGACAAGTATGGCCCGCTGATTCATGGGACGATGACCGCTTAGTAGAGTCATGTGGTCAGCGGCCTCAGCGCAAACTTGTGTCAAGGCAGAACGCGGCCCTGGTGCAGTATCGAGTGCCTGCTAGAGGAAAAGGGTTTGCTGTCACTATACGACATTTGAGGAACTCAAAACGTAAGTAAATATTTTAATGTTTATTTTGTGCCTGTATGAACCTCTTGTGGCTTGGGGTGTCATGACTTTAAACTTATAAGGATCTGGGAAAAAATAATAATAAAGCGTGATTATTATACTGTCCTTTTTTTTTTTTTTAACGTGTGGAAATCCCCTCGGACCGTCACCCCACCGGGGTTTGCGGCGGGGTTGTGTGTCGGACTCGGACCGACTAAAACCACACGGTCTGCCACTATGCGCCTGTAACAGGAGGGATCCGGGAACAGCTGTTGTTCAGACATCCGGACCCCTCCTAGCGCCAGCCCGCTCCTGGTGCGGGCTCCGTCTCAATATTTTCCTCTCTTTAGGCGACGTCCGGCACACGCGGACGCCGCCCCCTCGCGACTGGCCAAAATACTGTCCTGGCCCAACTTTCTCTTTAATTATTAAGATTTTTGCATTCAGTATGAAATAAGTAGTAGCAAGCGCGCCAGTGTGGTATAGTAGACCAAAACCTCCTTTTTAAGGAGAGGCCTATGTTCAGTGGACTGTTAAAAGCAGTTGATGATGATGATGATGATGAAGCGCGTTTTTATTAAAACACTACATAGTAGCACTAACTATTTATGATGTCATTTACTATAATATGTATTGTAATAAATTAATGACTTTATTGTTCTGTACATGTATTTGAAAATGTAATTTATTACCAGTCCGTCCGGCCGCTCCCTTTAAATGGGTTGGTTATTTTTTTTTATTAAAAGATTAAAACATTAAATCTATTGAAATTATCTAACTTTAACCACTCTCAAGTTACGCTTAGGTGATTTGGTGGGGGGGGGGAGGCACCACATCACCTGTTTTTTATGTTTTCTTAGAATTAATTCGCTGCATCTCAAGGTCTAATTAAGACATTCCATTGTTTCATTATATTCTCATGTTCCATTTGCTCATGTTCCATTTTATTCTAAGAACACTTGCTGAAACAAGCACTTACTTTAAAAAAATCCAACATAATTGGTTAAGATAAAGAGAACTGAGGTGTAAACATTCTACTTGAACTTAGAATTGCGGATCAGTACCGGTCTTGTCTCATAATCTTATTAAAACGAATGATTTTATACCAAATATTGTGAGTATTATGTTTACATCTATCTTATCTAAATTTATGCTTCACCAAAAATAAGCTTTAGGAATTTCTCCATTACTTACAGCAAAATTGTTTCTACCATGTTGGTCAGATAATTTTCCTGACGTAAAATAAAAGTTAATACCTCTAACTTTTTGCCACACTCGATATTAGTTTAAAAGTTATTTATAAGTTTGAAAACTCTAAATTAAAATGATGACGAAGCTTTTCATCAAAGTATGTCTTTTCTTCAGAATTAGTAGCAAATGATATACTTGGGAGAGCCATGCTTCGGCACGAATGGGCCGGCTCGACCGGAGTGATACCACGGCCTCACAGAAAACCGGTGTTAAGCAATTCTTTCGTTGCCTTTCGCTGAGTGAGTGAGGTTAGCGGAGCCCAAATCCCCTCCCGCTGACTCAAGCGGGAAGGACTTTTGAGTTGCAGGTGTCGATGAGCGGCGGCAGTTGCTTACCATCAGGTGATACGTCTGCTCGTTTGCCCCCTTATATAATGAAAAAAGAACGTAAAACGCCTTTAACCCACTTCCATGGAATCATATCTGGGAAATGTATTGATAATCGCAGATAACATACATGGATCTAAGGACTTAAACATGTATAAGTATTCCTTTTAACAACTCGTATCCTAATCACGATAGCTGCTTTTTGTTGATGTTTGTGATGAACCAAGCGAGCCTTGTGGTTATTGGTTACCGGTTCAAATATATATCTATTAATATATATTAGCAGAAAACTAAAGTCACCGACATAGCGTACCGGATCAGCAAGCTGAACCGACAACCGTTGGGGAAAACGAGTTCTTGAGTGGAGACCGCGTCTCGGCAAACGTAGTGTAGGACGCCCACAGGCCAGGTGGAGTGACGATTTGCGCAAGATGGCTGGCAGGAGCTGGATGCGAGAAGCCCAAAATCGATCTAAGTGGCGTGCAATGGGAGAGGCCTATGTCCAGCAGTGGACTGCGATAGGCTGATGATGATATATTATCGAAACAGAAATTCGGTGAACTGCTTAATAGGTTATACGCTTAATGTTCATTTAATACGCGTAACTCATGACTGATGATGTTAAATTACACGAAATATAATGAAGCAAAAACATTACCCTATTGGTAATAAAACACGCAATGCCATTCAGTCCGTCATCAAACTTACACGTATCTTAATAAGAATGTTACTTCGGAGAGACTTAAAACATCGTCTCTTTAACTCCAACTCACTTATAACTTTTTGAATTCAAATCCCTGTAAGAATTTCAAGTGAGCTACTTCAACCTTTCTCAAGATTTGGTATTCCTTTCTGTTTGTCAAGCTTTGCATACTTATAGTAAAGTCAGTCAGTCAATAAGACTAAGTTTTTAGGTTGTCTTTGTACCTAAGATTATAAAAATAAAGTAACCCTTGTACGTACGAGAAGTTTAATTCGATGTTTTTTTTTAAATTAATATAGAACCTCATGTCTTTTTAGTCAATAGAGTGCCGTCCATGTATCTAAAACACAAAGAACAAACAAATTGCTTATGAACCACTGATGATAGATTCCTGTAGATGTACTTTACAGAAGACGTCGGTGAAATATTCACTGTTGATCAGTGTTACAGGAATGTCTATGTAACGATAACTAATTAAATAATATGTACAGAAAAACATCTCATCATATGAAAATTTTCAAGTTTTGATACATTTTAAATGATATTGCGAGATACACGAACTGGGTACATGCTTTTACAAGTAGACAGATGCACTGATGTGTTTCAAATGCAGAGATAACAAGTACTGCATAACATACACATCACGAACGCGATACCGGAAAAAAAACGGTTATATTGTATACAGTAAACATGCACGTGTAGTATATTCCCTATTCATTTTAGTAAATGGCAGCTTGTTAATTAATTAATACAACTACATCGTACTTGTCTCACTGGAACTAATTTTGACGAATAAAACATATTAAAATGTACCCACTTTAACATCGCATCGATATAACAAAGTCCTTACTCTGTCTTAAAAAGTCCTAACAATGACTTTACCTTTTATATCCGCTAGTATGCCCATGTAGACTAGTGGTCTACAAAAACGAAATCCTAAAGTGCCCGTGTAGACTAGCAGTCTACAAAAATAAAAACGGAAAGTGCCCGTGTAGACTAGTAGTCTACAAAAATAAAACCGTAAAGTGCCCGTGTAGACCGGTAGTCTACATGGCTCCTGCCACAGATTAATTAGTATTTGACAGTAATTGTATTGACATAATGCTCTTTAGTAATATTTTTTCTATAGTCTGATATATTATCTATGGTATTAATCTCAGTCGAGCATGCAAACACTAGTAAAAAAAAAGAATTATACGTCATAAAACTTCTGTCATTTCATCTTACATAAATTATGCCGCGTGGCGGCCGATAATGGTAAGGATTTAGAGGCCTGTAAATAAATAAATATGTATGGGAGAGTATATGGTTTTATTTCATAACATATTAACTACTATCTAAACAACATAATTAAACATTAAAAACCATAGGTCATCGCTTTCATTTTTGAACTATGAGCTTCGAAGTGCAACACGAGCTTAAAAAGACGTTATCTCAATTTCAACACAGTGTAACTCAACACCAGAGCCGTAATCTGTAAATAGAAAGATAACATTGTTTAGCTAATTTCATAGGCAACTAAATAAATATAACACTTGACACCCTTTCAATACAAACTTTAGTCACAAGAACCGATTAAGTGGAACACGGCGCGCGCGTCGATAACGCAAAAAACAGTGGGGCACTTTACGGGTGGTCGGTATTTGTGCCGGGGCAATCTAGACGGTCTCGCTCGCGAGTCGCGGGCACTCTGGACGCCGCGGGCGCCATGACAGGGGCATACGAGCGGTTATGGATGACTCAATAGAAACTTTTTCAATAGTCGATTCTGATTAAATGATTATGCGAGTGTTTGCTTACGATGGCTTGTTCTAAAATACGAAATCATTGAATACTCTTAAAAGTTACTACTTTTTTTATAGTTAAACGTGTAATAAATTGTTTTTTTCAAGGCATCTTTACTTATTTTACTTCACAGATAAAATGGTGTTTTATCTTAAAATCTTTAACTAACTTTGTATTACTTTGTTCACCAAAATCACGGATTGACAAAGTAAAATAAAATTATCACTGACATATGCCAACTACTATTCTAACTAGGTGAGCCATAAACCAACTAGAATCTATTTATTTATTTATTTATTTATTTTCAAAGAATATGTAGCTGTGATCTGAGTCGTGATCAATTTTAGTTAATATATTTTTACTGTTGCTCATCCCGCTGATATTACGTTATTAAGAAGCCCGTCACTACCAAAATAAGTAATCAAAATATGATTCCAACAATGAAAAAATCTTTTGTGGGTACGCGTGTGAGTGTAATATGAATAATGGTCCTGAGACGATAACTTCTTCGCGTTAATTAATTGTACATTTGTTTTGCTAACTGTAGAAGTAAAAGACTCAAGTAAAGATGTTTCTCTTAATTGAGTTTTCTAGAAGTGTATATTATAAAATGCTATAACCTTTTTGTCCAATACTGACTACTACAAATTTATTTAACCTGTATTAGTGGCTTATGAACGGTTATTGGAATTAGTAGAATGTTTCACATGTAGAATGTGTTTAATGGTATAATTGGGCACCTGATGGTAAGCAACTGCCGCCGCCCATGGACACCTGCAACTCAAAAGTCACAAGTGCGTTGCTGCCCTTGGAGTCCTTCCCGCTCGAGTTGGGTGTGGGGATTTGGGCTCCGGTATCTTTTATGCACTGCACACCAATTCCATCACAATTTCTTACGAAAACTTAAGCCAGATTTTGTAACATTTTCTAAAATTTCGTATTTGTGTCACTTACTTTCTTTTACAGCCCTTTTATTAACAGTGATATTTAAACAATAATCTTTTCGCAGCATGCAACGTCATGTTCTTCGGCTCGGAAGGTGTGTACACTTTACGCAACCATGGTGAAACAGGCAACTGTTCTGTTCTGGTAGTATCACCGGCCACGGTCCACGTACTAGACCTGAATGTCGGGCAGACCATGAAGAAGGGACGCTTGATTGAAATGGAAACTGGGACCATTCATCGTGTAAGTAGTAATATATAATAGGCTATTGATTGTTATGAAATAAATATAAATGATTCTGTGAATGTTAAGGATTCTGAAAGTACGAACTAGACTTTATGTATTAAGAAGTTGAATATCTCCAGTCTAGTACCGTGTGGTAACGGATTAAGAATACGGATCACCACCCCTATTCATCCCGTGGGTGTCGTAAGAGCCGACTAAGGGAGCTAACGCAGGACAACCAGCACTGCACAGAGAAGGAAAACTTGACACAAACCCTATACCAACCCGTCTGGCCAGCGTGGTATAGTAGGCCAAAACCTCCTCTCTAAGGAGAGGCCTATGTCCAGCAGTGGCCTATAAAGGCCGTTGATGTGTATGAAGCACTGAGAACTATAATAAAAAGAAATCAAAGTCATCAAGTTTCCCATTAACGATAATAATTATACCATCGATACAAAACCTATGGAGACGACAGTTTTTTTTTTAATTGATCACTCACCTTATCTATATGAATAATTTAATTTCCGCTGCCTCCCTATCTCTCTAATTTACATATAAAGTTTAATCTATTTTTAAGCTCCAAGACCACATCCACTTATTTTCCTCAAACTTCAGCGTCAACAGTCATAATAAGGTGGTGAGAGAATTAATGGGACAATTTGCAAAACAGGTGAAATTTCAAACGGTGCCAAATATTTTGCTACTTAGTTGAAACTGTACGCACCAGCTAAGCATAAAATAATTATTATGTACTGTCTACCACAGTAGTTAAGATAGATGGCAGAGATAAATATGTCTAGCTTAAACGGTTTATTTCTTTTATAAACATACGAAATAATTATTTAAACCTATCCGTGTGGTGACGGATTAGGAATACGGGGTGTGGGTGTCGTAAGAGCCGACTAAGGGAACAATCTGCGCAGGACAACAGCACTGCAAAGAGAAGGAAAACTTGACACAAACCCTATACCAACCCGTCTGGCCAGCGTGGTATAGTAGGCCAAAACCTCCTTTCTAAGGAGAGTCCTAAGTCCAGCAGTTGACTATTATAGGCTGTTGATGTGATATGATTTAAACCTACGAGAATATAACTAGTTTCAATTGATGTACTCGTATTACGAGTGTCTATCGGTACACCACAAAATGAATTTACACTTACAAAAGTAATTAGATATTGACTAATTATATTTCGTAATTGTTCTATTTTAGGACAAAATAACATAGAAAGTATAATATGACATTTTTATTTATGGTATTGTTCGTGTAATATAATTAATAACTCGCCATTACAATATAAGGATATTGAAGTCTTGCCTATATTGACGTACGGATATTAAGCCGCACAAATTAAAAGCAGAAAATATAATATAACTGGTGTTTGTATTTAGGAATTGCAACAAGTTTTTTTTTTTTCTTGAGTTGAGTGTCGGAGTTTTTCTAACTAATTTTTTAATATTAATAGATAGATAGGTACTTTTTATTGCACACCATGGATGGAAAACATACAATGCAATATAAACGTGAAATAAAAAAAAACAGTGGTACAATGGGCGGCCTTATCGCAGTCTGCGATCTCTTACAGGCAACCTTTAGATGGACTATACTCTATAGTGATATGTAGTCTGTGGTGCGCATAAAATAGATTTACATAAATACATATTCCTACACATACGTACATTCATATGAATATACACACACATACATACATATACATACATTACATACCTACATATATAACACATAGTTCTTACAGAGATAAATAGTGATCCTTGACGAGTCTCTTAAAAGTACTCACTGATCGTGCCCGCCTTATGGCTTCCGGTAAGGAATTCCATAGTTGACAGTTATAAAAATGCAGGAGTTCACACAGGTTTTCCCTTCAGAATATATATTTACTATCTTTACACTTTTCAGTTATTTTTAACATGACTTTTTATTCAACTTTAGAATTCGGTCAGGGTATGTTTTGCTAGGTCGATCTTTACCGACCAATACACCAACGTTCATTCGTTTACTTGTTTTGTCATTCGTTTTTTCATTCATTATTTTTATATAACTCAATTACCTCAGGGTACCTTTCTAATTTTGTTCAATATGTAAACTTTCATGTAATGGTGTACTTATAGGTATGTACATTACTCATGAAACAGTAGAGGAAACTCATAATGTAGAAGAATAAATGTCTTTTTTTTTTTGTTTGTACACCTTTTTGTGAGATTGTCTTTGCTTTGAATTATAATAAAACTTTTTAATTGATTAAAAGTACTTTTCAAAGTATATTTATTTCAGTCATAACTATGATGGCTAATAATGAAATCCATACATTTAATGTCATTCTTTAAGATAAGTTAATAGTGTTTGTCCCAGAAATAATTGCCAACGAATATCTATGTTATATCTGCTACTTTACTATATATAATTCTACTCAAAAGCTGTAGGCTTAGTTAATTAGCGACAAATAAACAAAACCTAAGTAATTGAAACGAAATTATTTGATGAACATAATAAAATCGTTTTGGCGGTATTTAAATTATTATTTACATAATTAGAGTACCGAGAAAGTGGCAAAGTAAACCAATTTCGCCAAATTGTGGACCATCAAAATTTGGAAGTGAGTTAAAGCTCATTTAAAAGCGCGCAGAAGTAAACTAATTTGTTCTGCGAATAAGATACTGAAAATGTTAGCGATTCTTCCCATTTGTAATAAACTCATTTAAATGGCAAAGAGAGACATTTTAGGTGGAGGTTACTTGTCATCACTTGATCGCTTTTATTTGTGATAGCTAGTCGATTGTGATAACCAAGAATTGTGCCTAGATTAAATTACATCATATAAATAAGGCAGAGTGTGTTATATTTCTCACATAGAATAAAAAATCATAAACTTGTCATTTTTTTTATCACATAACTTTATTGGTTAGTAAGACTTGCACAAGAGAATTGATATTACGCTTTTGGTTTCCTGTAGAGTAGTCTGGTATATACCTAATGGGTTGCCTTTCTTTTGTACATTACTAAGATATATTAAGTTTGCGAACAATGACGACAACAATCAGAAAAACAGTGTACAAACAGGGCTTTTTATAGAATGGGTGTTTGGCACAGTTAAAGATACAAAGGTTATGAAAAGAGACGAAAATAGACTTTCTAAGTTATTCGAATATTACTTTGTAACATAATTTCAAGAACGATAGCATCAATAAATCATGGACGTTCATCCATCGTCAAACAACCATTTTGTCTGTAGAGTGTCATCATGATGGATTATTATAGACCAAGAAGTAAGCTTACCAAATGTAATGGTTACCACGTAATATAAGCGACTTGCTCAGAGTCACCACTACATAGTGATTAATTCACAGAATCGTTTAATAGATATGTATTTAGATTTGAATCCACAACCCGACAATGAACCAATAGCAAGTTATGTAACTAGGCTTACTATATTCCAAATTAAACCTTAACTGTATATAGAAATAGTATACAAAATGAAATACCATGTTTATGAGTTCACGTCCCCGCATTTAATGAAGAAACCAAATCTTATACATATTGTGTATGAGCACTGCATATAAGATGGTAGCATTTAATTTCAATAATTTTAGATTGATGTGTTTATTTGCTTTGTAGAAAGTACAGTTGAGAAATATCCAGGGAGTTAACGGTTGGTACTCTAGCAGAGCCCTGTTTTCAGCAACTATTCATGTATGTAAAGATTCTTCTTGTGGATGTCAATGGAAAATCTCTGACAATAATCATAAAGCTGGCTGGCAATTAGTTCACCATTTCTTAATTATTCTATGTGAAGTGATACGATACTCGTATTTGTTCAAAAAACGCCATAGTGGTGGGGAAAGAATGTGTGTATGAATATCTCAAGGGGAAAGAATGTGTGTATCAATAATAAGTCTGATGTTATTTGAAACACCACCAAGTTCACAAAAAATATATTAGTTTGAATGTTAATGATGCAACTCATAAACAATACATGTAGAACTACCCTTTTTTTTTCTTGCGGAAGTCCCCTCGGATACCACCTATCGGTGGCATGTCGGATGTAGAACTACCCTGATGATCATCTGCATCTTATTAAGTGTAAGACCTGTAACAATCTGATCAGAATAAAAAATGAGGATCATAATAAAGAGGTCGCAAATGACTGGCTGTAATGTTTTCCATGTAATTAAAGTGTCTCACCTGAGTTAGGTACACCTACAACATAACAGTGAATTCCAAGAATGAAGCTTAAATCCTGTACTTCCACAGTGCACAAAGCGCGGCCTGCCTGATTATGTTGACATTGGCGGTTCAAACGGGCTTGATCACACGAAAATGGAGGTACTTGACAGCGTTTGTGGCCTTGACTCTACTGAAGGTAACCAATCACTTTAGCAATGTATTGTTTCCCTTTCTAATGTTTGTCCTAGAATTTGATTACATGTCTATTTCTTTGAGAATTCACATGTTTTGATAGTTTTATACTAACATTAACTTGTGTCCGAACGAAAGCAATAAAACACTTCGATTTTCGACTATTCGTCGTTGGGGTATCCGTGGATATAGATTACGAAGCAAAAACATCTTACAATCAAATGTCATTAAATCTTTTGATGTTTGAGACGGCAATTGTTTTCCCTTGTGGCATTAAATCAACATATACGACAATGTGTATACGAGTATATACAGAACTCGGGCCTCTGTAATCTTAATTTTCTTTGACAAAAAGATCTGAAAGCTGCTTACAAAGAAAAAGCTTATCTACTTATAGACAAACTAAATGTTGACGAAGTTATTAATACAGATAGTCTTGAATAACTTGGTTCTTTAAGGTTTAATAGTCCGATAAAAACTAAAGCTTTATGTAAGTTGAACGTAAAATGTCTAGAATAGATAAATACTATAACCGACGAGAGTATTTTCAGTATTCTATGTCCTTATATATGCATTCTCTTGTGAATATAGAAATAATGATATCAGTCTTTTTGACCAAATCTTAAATATTATTGTGTTTCAATAACTAGATAAGGTTTTTTTGCATTCTTAAATAAAAATTTAACTTAGTCGACTGCACGGATGGCGTAGTTGTTTAAGCGGTCACCTCTCCGCTTCCTACTGCGCTGAGTGTTCGATCCCCACATGGGACAATACTTTGTGTGATTCACAAACTGTTGTTCTGAGCCTTTGTGTGTCTGGGTGTTCTTTATGTCCGTTTCATGAATGTTTGTAAAATCCCCCGCGACAGGATATATTCTTACTGCGGGAGATGTCTTTTAAAAAAGAAACTTTACTTAGTTAATAACATTTCTAGAGCTTTCGTATTTGTTAGTTTATTTCACATTTTAATATTTTCACAATTCTTTGAGCACTGGCAAGAAATTCAATGTCAGTTCCAGTTTAATACAAATTAACATTAAATATGTTTTAGCTCGACGTCCAGCGCTCATCGCTTGCGAGGACACCGTCGTTCGGCTTGTATCCAGCGGCCGATATCACAACTCCGTCACCTTAGCTTTCGCTCCTTTCGAAGATATTGAACATGCTGACCTTCTTTGCGGATTAAATGACTTGTAAATGAAACGAAACGTGCCATTCAATGTAGTCTCTCGACTTTGGCTTCAGGGATGATGTTTGACTACTATTTATTTATTAAACGTTGTATGTTACGGGTTTAGTGGTTATCGGTGTTTCATAATTGGTTTAAACCAAGCCCTTGTAGATAAAATAGTTATTATAAAACCGATGTTACGTTTTCCTAATAATATTCTATACTTATATTATTGACGGTAGATACCTTGTATTAGTAAATGTAAGTAATATAGATTTATTCGATCGATTAAGTATAATTAATGGTTTTGGTCATTATAGTTCTTTCAGTGGAACCAATCATAGAGCTCTCATTTTTAATAAGGGGGAAGTTGCGTTATCTGGGGCCGACATCAAGTTTGCAAGGGCTCGCTTTGAGCGCGTGCTCACTTCTAATTGAAGTATCAGTGGCGGTGACCTCAGATTGATGCTGGTTCGTGGAGTATCTCATTTACAAACATCATCATAACTGCGCCAGTTTAGACATAAGTTAATGTAACTAGTAGCCAACACAATATCTTGTCTAAAGACGTAGTATTAAGACACTAAGTTGGTAATAAGTTTTACGGTAATTACCTGGTTCTGTCAAATGAAGTTTATTACCAAATTCAGTATCTCTGTCTAGTCATATATTAAGATAAAATCCAACAGAGGTTTTAGCCATTTGTCAATAAATAAATGTACCTGTTGAATTGTTTTATTTTTTTACTCTATTCGTTAGGCCAACATAGTTCCATATTCCAATGCGAATGTGTGGCAATAACTTACGCCGCCACAACGGCCATGTCAAGGGGTATCAAAGACTATAACATCCGAATACTATCCGACAGCATGGCCGTCCTAAAGGCACTAGAGGGTAACACAATGACCTCTGGTATTGTCTTCGAATGCCATCAAGGATTGGAACAGCTTGCCACATTAAATGTGGTACTCCTCCAATGGATTAAAAGGGCACAGTAACTCACACGAGAAAGATGCCGCAGATGAGTCGGCCCAACCATACTCCTGCCAATGCCGTTTAACCAAATACGATTCTGGGCCAGGCAACGGACTCGTGAAGCACACAACCGGAGGTGGAAAAACTCACCCGGCTGCAGACAGTCCAAACTGGTGCTGACTCAAGTCACACCACGACTCACCTGCAGATTAATTAGTCTTAGCAAACTGGATATCCAAATAGTTGTCGGTACTATAACAGGACACCTAGCCCTGAACCGACAACTGTTCATCATCACGTGACGGACAGCCCTCTGTGCAGGGGATGGCTGGAAGCAGAAGAAACAGTGGCCACACAACGGGCAAGTATCATTCCTGATTAAAAATCGCTCCTAGAAGCCTGTGAACGTCCCAGGAGGCTTCTGCGCTTCTGAAAGGAGCTTGGTTGGCTCACCCAGCTAAACAGTCCTCGGCGCATAAAGGACCACTCTTGAGTCTAAATGCGGAAACCGAAGCCCACAACCAACACCAATACCTATTCCTACCCGTCTGGCCAGCGTGGTATAGTAGGCCTAAGGCTGTTAATGATGATGATGAAAACTTTAACATAAATAGATTGAACAAACGATTGAAATTTCTCTTCAGTTCTTCAAAACCTCATGCTCGGTTTGTAGGCATTGAAACACGTTGTGGCGTAAAATTACAACAAAGAGATTAATTAAACCGCTTGTTATTAAAAACTTACGATTACATGAGTATGCCTATTTTTCTTTATAACCTTATTAATCAGGAAGTAAAATTAAAACATTTCCCAAACAAATTACTTGTATTCGTATCGTATCTAACCATTTTTTTAGTATGGAAACCCACACCGGTTTTACGGTAATATATGTCTTTATAAAACCATACCGGTTTTCGTATTTCGGTCGTAATTTTTTGATTGCTTAATACTATTCGGGCTCAAATGTGTCTTGGCTCATAATTATAGGCCGGCTCGATCTGACTGATACCAAACCCTTTGTCTTTATGATAGAGAGGGCAGACGAGCAGACGGGTCACCTGATGGAGAGTGACCATCGCCGCCCATGAACGTCTGCAACTCAGGAGTCACAAACGCGTTGACGGCCTTTTATAAAGGATTACGCTTTTAAGGGTACCGGTATTAAGTAATTCTTTCGCAGCATTTCACCGCGTAAGTGAATGCACAACCTCACCTAATTCTAACAGGAGCAGTTAAAGGCCAGCAACGTTCTTCCAGGGGCATTCACTTTCCATTGGGTGACCGGTGTGCTCGCTTCTCCGTTATAGGTATTATTCTATAAAAAAGTTAGACTTATTGAAACTAATTTTAACAACAATACAATAGCCTATGTTAGGACCCAAATTCAATTATAAGTTTCAGCTCAGTCCAAATTTTATAGACAACGAGAAAACACTGGATTAACACATAATATATTGTGCCTATTTAGTTATCTGACAACTGTCTTGTAATCTTGCATACTTCGTCGATCAAGACTTCGTTCCCTTGGCTTTAATTAAGTCGCGGAAATCGAACAATGTAAGGACTATCAACTCTCATTTCGTGTTAAACCCTTGTAGATACACATACATACAGCCTTGTAGATAGCTGGAAGTCCTTAGAAGGAGTAACACAATATTATGAAACTACTTTTTTTAAATTTTGTATTATTCATTATCTTATATATAAAATTCACGTGTCACAATGTTAGTTACCATACTCCTCCGGAACGGCTGGACCGATTTTTATGAAATTTTGTGTGCACATCGGTTAGGTCTGAGAATCGGCCAACACCTATTTTTCATATCCCTTAATGACAAGGGTGACCCACCCCTAAACTTTTTTTTCAATATATCCTAGAAATAATGTTTGTGGCAAAACAACGTTTGCCGGGACAGCTAGTATAGATTATAAAAAGTTAACCGAAAGAAAAATTCAATAAAAGCGTTCTACTTCTGACACCATTATCTGATTATCATTACTGAACCTGATGTTTTGGACTAGTCAAAGCGAATTAAAGGAACCGTAACTAGAAGTGTTTAGTTGTTGCTACTGAAGAGTTCCACTGTGGAGGTGGTTAGTGGGATTTGTTAGTGGCTCCAGTTGATTTCCTCTGATTTAAAATACCTAATGATGGTATTATCAGTCAAACCATGTATACGTACGTAGGTATATATACGAGTCCATACAAAGCTTTGTTAGAAATGACAATTGGAAATATGTTAAAATTGATTTCCAAGATTTGTTTACCTAGTCAGTTAGTTATAAGTAAAACTAACGTAGTTAATAAAGATCTTATCTTTATTAACTTTGTTAGTTTCACTTAGTAGTCAGTAAATTAGTTGCTTAAAGCTGTGCCACCTGTGTGTCAACTAACTTGAAAAGTTATGCGGTTGGTGGCAAAAAAGATTCTGGTATTGTTTCCTAATTACTGAGAGTTCCAATAGATGGCTCTCAGCATCACAATATCGGAATTTAGGGGTTAATAAGAAATACAGGTTGATCGAATTACCTTTTTGTCCAGTTACTAGTTTTTTGGCTGCGGTTCTTTATACTAATTTATAATAACTTAACTGTCAAGAGAGAAACTACTAAACGGAAAAGAGAGGGACTGTTTTGTTTCATTTATACTGGTGATGGAATCGGCATTTGTCTTCAACTCACCGAATGGAAAGTAAAATGTTTTGACTATACTCTTAAATATTGAATCAGGTGATTAATTTGAAAAGGTGCTTAGACCAATTTCTGCGAAAGCTAGTTGGGTTATCACCTAAGAGATCGTTGATTTCAAGGTAGGTCATTGCGAGAATACCATTTAGTGCACTGGCCTTAAAACATTTAAATGAAACAAACATTTAATTACTTGTATTTGTTTCATTTTAAAGTTATAATATAATAATATTCTACCACATACACACAACGCCATCTAGTCCCAAACTAAGCAAAGCTTGTACTATGGGAACTAGACAACTGATATAAATACATATATATACTTTTTTTTTTTTTTTTGTAAATACATACATATTATACATAGAGACACCCAAACCAAATCAAGCATCAAATGTTCATGCACACAAATGTTTGACTTGAGCGGGAATCGAACCCGCGACCTTTGGAATAGCAGTCCGTTACACAAACCACTACGCCATCCAGTCGTCGTCAGTTTCTTATTAAGGTGATAGATGATTGAGGTACAGGACTAAAATGATTTTGATTCATTTACAATATGAACCCTTTTAAAAATAAGTTGAACCGACTTTAAACAACACCGACAAAGAGCACTAAAAATTAAAAAAATAATTACAAATCTAAGTAAAAAACTATAATAAGTACCCTCAATGTAACAGGTAACATTATAATACCAATAGTCCCTTCTAGTCTGTTTGAAGTTTTATATTTAATATAATATTATTATTATTATATTATATTTAATTACTGCCGGACATAGGCCTCTCCTTAGAAAGTTGACCCACACAAAATTTAAGAGTTTTTTTCAGAACTATTTTAATAAATTAAGTATAAAATTACTTACAAACGAAATGCGATGCCATCCACAGCAACAAAACGTCTATCCGAATTATTTTAACAAGATAGAATACAACATTTCAACCTTTTCTTCTTAATACAACGAAAATTACTGTGGTGACATAAATACTGCAAGTTCTCTGCGCATCACATCGCGCAGTCTCTGACGGTTGCCATGGTTTGTTTGGCTAAAGAAATACTCGTAGCTAAAACACGTTGTCGGGGCTGTCAAATTCCCAATAATTGTGAGGGTTTCCCTCGATTTCTCTAGGATCCCATAATCAGATTCTGAATTGGTGATAATGGGACCAATTCGGGAGCATACCCTTTCGATTACAAAAAGAATTTTGAAAACCGGAATCCACAATTGACGGAGAAATCGCGTAACAAACATACATAAAAAAAAAAAGATACAGACGAATTGAGAACCTCCTCTTTTGTGTTTTGGAAGTCGGTTAAAAATGAATCGAGAGTGTGCTCTTAACATATATTTTATAAAATTTCGTAA